CACACACACACACACACACACACACACACACCAGCAGTACGTCCTGCACAGCGGGAGGGGAAAAAAGGCAGCGGGGCAGCTGCAGCCCTACCGGACCGAACTTCAGTCAAACAAGACCCAACACTTTTATTCCTGATTTAAACTAGTGATCTTGTGAGCAGCTGTATGCTTTTATTTTTTTCTGTCAGGCTGTCGGAGCGCTCCTCCTCCTCTGTCCCATACTGTGGWCACTCTCCATGTAGCATCAGTTATGCTAATGCTAGCTACCTGTCACGTTCTCTTGTCCTGGCCACACCTCCGCTCTCTAGATTTACACGTTCCATATTCCTTCCATTTATTGATGGTGAATATAATGTTGCACTTTTGAATAATCTTTTCTCAGGGTTGATTTACTACAGTTGCTTTAAACGGGGTGAATACTTATGCAGTCATTTATTTTACATTGCATTATACTGTATATGTAATTGAATTGAAATAGAAATGAGATTTATCTTTGTCAGTGAAGAAAAGCAGATTTATATTGACTAATGGCTTTGACTGATTTATGACAGCTGTGTGTGCTCTTTTGTTTGACTTGTTGCAAAATATCTCATGAACCAGTAAGCAGATTTGATTAAAATGCATAAAGTAAACATTGCAGGTACATTTACAACTGACATCAGAAGACATAAATTAGCTATAGCTCAGTAACATAAAATAATGTATATTGAGTTTGATGTGGTAGTAAGTGAGACTCACCCTCAACATGTGAGCGCCAACACATCCACCATGTCTCTCATTGTTGCAGGACCTAAACAACTGTCCTTCTCATTTTTTAACATTCTTATTGTAAAACCTCTAAAAAAACCTAGGCCTTTAATTTCCTTACTAATAACTTTAGAGGGATTATTACTGTGTTTGTAAGTCTCCTTTGCCATCCTTTCAGGACATTGGATCAGACCTGAAGTCCCAGAAGTCAGTAATTACAGAGACGGAGCAGAACCTGCGCCTGGCTAAGGGCACTTGTGATGAAATGGCCATTAAACTACAGGAGCACTGTCCTGACATTGACAGGCAGGAAGCTGATGTTCAGAAACTCAACAAGCGCTACAACAACCTGAACAGGCAGATTGAAACCAGGTGAGATGGTCAGGACAGAGAGGTCTGAGTAGAGAAACTCATGGACTTCATCAAAGATCTGTGGACGAGGAAGGACTCAACAAGGATTTGTTTTGATGTRTATTACAGGTCTCAAAGCTTGCAGAGAGCCAAAATGGCACTGAAGAACTACCGCAATGATTATGACAATCTGAACAGCTGGCTCTCTCGTGTCCCGAATTATGAGCCCCGTGAAACTGATGACATGAGACAAGTGGAGACCAAACTGAAGAATCAGAGGGTGAGATGAGAAGCATTGGAATCAYATTTTGCAAGTTTCCCTCTGTAAATAAACTATACATTTTCTGTCATTGTTGTTCATACCAACTTTATAAATATTTGTTTTCTGCAGAACTTGCTCTCTGACATCGCAAGGAAGGAATCAGATTTGAACAATGTCTCTAAAAATGCCCAGCTTTACCAGCAAGCAGTCAAAGTAAGATCTTTGTACATTTAAAAGATTACTGTGGCACTAAGTTTAATTAACATTAAGATAAAATAAGAATTMACTGGTTTGTCATTGTAGGACTATGAGAATGAAACAGAGAAGTTCAGGTCTATTCTTGACCTTGAGGATGGACTTGTKCCTCAGACCTACAAGAGAAGCAGACTGGAATCCCCAGCTCTGGCAGTCAAAGCAGAGGTGATGTTCTCCCCTAACAGTCAATTACTTTAAAGGCTATTACAGAAAGATACTAGAGACATTTAATATCTCTCAAAATACAATGTGAATTATGAATGACTTACTGACATTGCCAAAGAAGCTAAAACTAATTGTTAAAGCTAAAGCTAAATATTTTAACAGGCTATAACTACGTTTTGAAAGACTAGCTAGTAGCTAAAAGTAGCAAATTCTTTTGAATAGTTACAAAAACCAAATGTCATAGCATCTGTCTCCTGAATGAGCTGAGCAATCTGATATATAAATGACTAAAACAACACAATGTATAAAGAAGTAGGTAAATTGCAAGTAAATATACAAGGAAAAAATAAACAGAAAAAAATGAATGCTACCAGTGACTGCTGGATATAGGCATTTACATGAAAAAAGCAGGTAAAATGGATGAATGCCTGCTTCCCTTGTGTCTTCCATAAGCTATCTAAACATTAACTTCATGCTTAACACTTAATTGCTAGCTCATTCACAGTATAAGCTGACTCTATGCCATTTAATTCCTTTGTCAATTTGTACTTTTGGTCATTCAWACACCAGCTTTTTGAGTGTGAAAATAAGCCGCCTGGCACTGGTCTCTTATACCTACCTTGAACAGAAGAAGATTTAGACCAGTTTCATTAGGGATGCCAATGCAAAGGTATTGAAGCATCTTTGTTGTTATACTGTTAAAAATGTCCTGTATCTTATTGTACAGCTTTGAAACAAAACATTAAATTATACACCAAAATGTGCGTCTTGATGCTATGACTTYAGGTAGTGCCATATCGGACAATGAGGACAAAATTTTAATTTAATAAAGTAATAGAGATCAATAGGATTTTGGGGAAACACATAAGAAACATAAAGTATATCTCTGCCATCTTAAAACAGCTCCAATTTTCAAAATTACATAGTGGTTCACGCGTTTCATGAACAGTTCACAAACTGTTTTATCAGCATTGAAACTGGTGGAGATGCAGTTTGGTCTTGGTCCCACATAGTTCTCATCAATCCTGTCAAACTTGACACTGAGGTTGTTTGAGAGCTCTGTGCRATGTGTGGTGTGAGATATTATTTGTTCTTTACTTTTAAATTGTAGATTTTATCATAAAGGTTGTGACTATGTTAATTCCTCATACTATACTGTGTATGTTTTTCATGATTTAATATTTTCATGTCTGCAGGAAGCTGCTATTGAGGCCAAGTTTACAGAAGTGAATGCTGTGAATAAGCAAAGGCTGCAGAATCTTGAGTTTGCCCAAAGTCTTCTTAGCCAGGTAAAGCAGTTTTCAAACTACAACACTAACTAAATTTTCCAATAAAAAAAGCAGCATTAATCATGATGATGAATATCTTTCTTTAGCAACCTGAGATCCCGGTTATCCAGTCTACCAGCGTGAAGTCAGTCCATGCTGCCGCCCCGGGAGAGGAGCCATGGAGAATCAGGAAGCAACTGGATGATGAGATCCAGAGGAGAGAGCAGCTAGAAAAAGAAATTCAGACTATTCAGACTGACATTTATGTCCTAGAAGGACAAAAGCCACAGGATACAATTGTCAAAAAAGAGCACATTAAAAAGGTACCAGACCCCCAACTAGATGAGGAAGTGCACAAGGTTCAACAGAAGCTCTCAGAGGAACGCCGCACCACCCTTGTGTTGGAGAATGACCTGGAGGTGCTCAAGCTAAAATTGCGAGGTCTTGAGACTGAGATGAAAGAAGGAGCCCAGCAGTACACAGTCAAGGAGGTGCTGCGTATAGAAAGAGACCGTGGTCAGGAGGAGGAGATTCGAAAACTTCGGGATGAGCTGGAAGAGCTGCGAAGGCAGAAGATGTTAAAAGACAACGAGCTGATTACGATCCAAAAGCAGATGACCGTCCTGGCTGAGGAGAAAAACAAAGAACAAGAGGTCATAACTGAAGAGGAGGTGATCAAAGTCCAGAATGACCCCCAACTTGAATCTGAGTACCGGGTGCTCCTTGACAGGAAGCAGAAAGAAATGGACAATAGGAAGCAGCTGGAGGATGAGCTGCAGTTTCTTCAGGAAAAACTCCGAAGGTTGGAGAAAGAGAAATCAATGGCCGAGGAGAAGATTTCAATCAAGGAGGTGCTGAAAGTAGAGAAAGATGCTGCGTTTGAAAGGGAAGTAGAAAACCTCAGGAGGCAGTATGAGGATGAGAAGTCTAAACGAAGATCATCACAGCGGGAGAGGGCTGACCTCCAGAGGAAGATTCAGAGCCTCGAGGAGGAGAAGTCTAAGGTTGTGATTCAGGAAAAAGTGCGTGAGATTGTTCGCCCTGACCCTAAGGCTGAGAACGAGGTGGCCAATCTCCGTCTTGAGCTTGTAGAACAACAGAGGCGCTATAGAGATTCAGAGCTCCAACTGAAATCTCTGCAGGATGAGTTGATCATGCTGAAGAACAGAGGACCTCAAGTGGAAGTCAAAGAGATCATCAAAGAAGTAATCAAATACAAGACAGATCCACAGACCGAAAGAGAATTGGAGAGACTTCGCAATGAGATTGTTGATAAAACCCACCAGACWGAGAAATCGGAGATGGAAATCCGTCAGCTTCGTGATGAAATTGAAAGATGGAGGGAYACTAAACCCCAAGTACAGACCAAGGAGGTGGTCAATGAAGTGCTGCAGTACCGAGAAGACCCGAGGACCAAGGAGGAGATTGAGACTCTGAAAAGGAAGCTGGCTGATGAACAGACGAAACGCCTCGACCTTGAGAGGGAGCGGTCAACCCAGGAAGAGAAGATTAGGCTGAAGAAGATCGACCTGTCTCAGATCCGAGAGAAGATCGTCCAGCAAGAGGTTGTCAAGATGGAAGAAGATCCCGTCCTCAAGTCAGAGTGTAACAACTTCCTGCAAAGCATCAACAATGAGCAAAAACAAAAGGATAACTTGAAAGCAGAACTCTTCCAACTGCAGAGACAAATCGCTGATCTGGACCTGCAGCTGGAGGAGCTGGAGCGTGAGCGCAGGGCGAGGCGTGACGCAGAGCTGGAGATCCAAAGACTTCGGGTCAGGCTCAACGAGCTGGAGATCCGCGACAGAGAGAACCGCGAGAAGGTGACCGTCAAACAGAAAGTAGTCCTGCAGCAGGATCCTCAACAGGAGAAAGAACATTCCATCCTCAAACTACAGCTTGACGAAGAGCGACACAAACGCACCCTGCTCGAGAAAGAGCTGAACGCACTCATTCAGCAGCAAATCACGTTGGAGAAGATGGATGTGAAGGAAAAGGTTGTCCGCACTGAGAAAGTTCAAGTGGAGAGAGACCCAGAGGCTGAGATTGAGATTGAGAACCTAAGGAGAACTTTGGAAGAGGAGAAAAAGAGAAGACGTGAACTTGATTCGGAGTTGTCAATCCTCACCTCCAAGTTTTCTGACATGGAGTTCTCTAACACCAAGTCAACTAAAGAACTGGAYTACATTCGAGATGAAAGCTACCGCCTCCAACAAGAAAACCAAAAGCTGCAGAATGAGATCCGCAAGCTTCGCTCTGAGATTGAGATCACCAGCAAAGAAACTCGGCTTATCACAGAGTCTGCACCAAGAGAGGATGGAAAGAACCTGGAGTTGAGGCTCGACTCGCTTCAGAAAGAGCTGTCAGATCTAAGAAATATAACACTCCAGAAAGATGAGGAGATTGAGAAGCTTAAAAAGAATTTGTCGGCAGTGAGAATGAAGAGGGAGCAGAGAGAAAGCCACCTCCGCAGGTCTATTGTTGTTATTGATCCAGATACTGGAAGAGAGATGCGACCTGAAGAGGCATACAAGCTAGGCTTGATCGAYTGGAAGATGTTTGTCAACCTGCAGGGTCAGGAGTGCGACTGGGAAGAGATCACAGTTAAAGGCCCCAGCGGAGAGTCTTCTGTGCTTCACGACAGAAAATCTGGGAAGAAGTTTTCCATTGATGAGGCTCTGCGTCTTGGGAACATCACAAATCGCCAGCTTCAGCAGTACATAAATAAAGAAATATCCATTCAGGAGTTTGGTGTTCTGGTGTCGGGCAAGAAAAAGTAAACAATTTAGCATTTGGCTTTTAATGAGCTTGGAATTGTATCTTTCAATGTATTTGGAGATCTCAGTGCTTTTTACTGTCTTTCTTCTCTGACTTTATTCCTTTGGTGACTTGGCTTTATTTTGTACTTAAGGTTCCAAAAGTACACTGTATTTATTTGCTTATGTATGCTTAGATTTGTTGCACAAAGTACAAAGGAGAGTACAGTACAAAAGTTGATACTACAGCCGCTGGAAAAGTACAAAAACATATTTCTCAGATTCTTTTATTTCTTTGAGTACCAGTAGGTACTTTGGTTGACAGTATATTTTTATTATTTTAATTTGTTGATGTTGTAGTGGGGGAGGGGCTGAGTGTTTCATYTGTTTCTGGTGTTTTCCAAGGGTCAACTAACGTGTGTTCAAGCTTCAATAAAGTCTAATCAAGCTGATAAATGTCTGTGTTTTAAATATAAAGAATAAAACTCTACTCACACCACTATAATCTCCACTATAATCTATTAGCAGCTGGCAAATATTTAATCGACTATGGATTTTAATGAATCTTTCAAAAGGTAATGATTAGATGAACATCTGCAACCAACATTTGGAGTTGGAGATGGCCACCACTGTTAACTGACCCCAACTCATTTAGTTTTACAACTCTTATTCATAGTAGATGTGGTAGTAAGAGACTCATCCTCAGTTTACATACTCTTGAATGTTAACTGCTTGCAACGTCACAATAGTGCATGAGATTGTGCATAAAGTTTATGAGAACTGGTGGAGTTTTATCACTATAATTTTTCATAAGTGGGTCAGTTTAAAATGCAGACAAAAGGTGGCAGGAAATGTGTAATTTATCAACAAATGTAGGCCTTTTAATGCTTAAATGTTGGGCAAATCAAAATTGAGTAACCAAAAATAATTTCCAAGTTGATAAAAAAGATGGAAAGAATATTGAAATGCGGTATAATAAAACAACACAACTGTGATGAGAAAATGTAAATACTAAAAGACAACTGAATAACCGTTTCAAGTTCTATCTAATGATCATGGTTAGAACCTGAGACTATTGGCTTTAGACTGGTTGTCCTTATTCAGGGGGATGATTTCAATTTTAAAGTGTATATAATTATCCATCCATTATACCTGCTTTTACCTTTCAGGGTCACTGGGGCCCATATCCAGCCGTCACTGTGCGAGGGGCGGGCTGCACCCTGGACAGGTTGCAAGTCCATCGCAGGGACACATACAGCGGGTAAAATAAGTTTTGAACATGTCACCATTTTTCTCAGTAAATATGTTACTAGAGGTGCTAATGACATGAAATTTCCACCAGATGTCGGTAACAACC